CTTTTACCCTGGGTGGGGCCTTGTGTCCAGAGAGCTCTTCTACCCCTCCTCTCCCCGCCCCCAAACCCGGGCTTGCCCAGCTGCAGGAATGGCAACCACAGCTACCTGGCTGCCCAGGCCCCAAACCTGGCTTTCCCTCTCTTGCCCCATGGCTGGTCCACCAGGGAGCTCATCCAAGTCCAAGGGTCCACCTCCACTGCCCTGCTGTGGTCCACCTGGGAGGTCTGCAGTCGCCTTCTTATTGGTCTTCCTGCCTCCACTCTTGCCCTCCTAAGCCAGGTAGATTCTGTTAGAACCCAAGTCAGATCCTGTCCCTCCTCTGCTCAGAACCCTCCATGGCTCCCATCTTACTCAGAGCAGAAGCCAAAGTTCTTACAGTGGCCCAGCAGGCTCTGCAGGATTTGTTTTCCTCCCTCCCCCCCAAACATGCCAGTTATGCTGCTGCCTCAGGGCCTTTGCACTTGCTCTCCCCTCTGGAACAGAGAACACTGTCCCCCCAGCTCTCCCCATGGTGGCTCCTCCTCTGCAGTCAGACCTCAGCTCCAAAGTCACCCCTCAAAGAGGCCCTCCTGATCAGCCCCTCATTCCTGTCACCTCAGGCTGTTTTGTTTTCTTCCTAGGACTTATAGCCTCTCCTAGAAATTAACCTCCTTGTTTATCCCGATTCTTGTCTGTCTCCTTCCACTGGAATGTCACCATCACCCAGCTGGGGACTTTGGTCTGTTTTGTTCACTGCTGTACACCCAGCACAGTGCCTGTACAGAGCAGGTGCTCAGTTAACACTTGTGAAGGAATGAACGAATGAATGAATGAATACTTCTTTGACAGATGAGGGGACGGAGGCCCAGAGAAGGCCCTGGAGGTCTCGGACTCACAGTCCAGAGCTTTTTCTGCTGCCTCGCCCTGATCTCTCGAGCAGTCTGTTGCCTGTGCGGCCACAAAGAGGACAAACCAAATTTGGGGTGCTGGGTGCTAATCTCAGCCCCTGTAGGTCTTGGCTCAAGCCATGGGACTGTAGGCAAGCAGCTTCCTCATGTGCAAGATGGTGGCATGGTGGTTGCAGCGGCACAGGGGGAGGTGCCAATGGGATGGAATGACATGGGGCACACGGTGGGCACTCGGTAAATGGGAGTGGAGGTGGGAGGTGGTCCCCTTCTGCTCCAGGGCCTGTAATGACCACGTACACTGGTCAGTGGGTCCTAGAGATTCCACATGTGGGCAGGGCTGTGGCCAGGGTGCTGGCCTGGCCCCAGCAGGTCCCACAAGCACTGTCCTGCCAGGCCTCATGGCTGACATTCCAGGCACATTTCCCAGCCCTGGGGCTGCGGCTGGCCCATGTAGGGTGGGGGTGGGGGGTCGTAGACTTCAGGCTGGACAAACTAGTCAGGCTTCTGACCACCCACATCCTGCTGGGATCCTTGAGGCCCGGGAGGGGGCCCCTCCCTACTCTGCCTCTGTGGGTCTTGTCAGCAACTCATCCAAACAGACCCTGAGCCTTGCCTTCTGCCTCCACTGCCGCCATCCTGGCTCATCCCTGTTGCTGCAGAAGCCTCCTCCCCGGTCCTCCAGAAATCCCCTCTCCACACTTAGTCTGAGGGAGCCTTTGAAACTGTGGAGCAGCCCACATCACTCCCCTGCAAAGTCCTCTCTAAGGGATCTCCCTTGCTCTGGAGTAAATCCTCACATTCTTCCCCTGGCTCACAAGGCCCCCCTCTCTGGCCTCCATCTACTTCCTCTCCCCATCACCCCACCCCCTTCCTGCCACACTGGCCTCCTCCTAGTTCCTGAAACAGCCCAAGCTCATGCTGCCCCAGGGCCTTTGCACAGGCTGTTCCTTCTTCCTGGAATGCTCTTCTCCCAGGTGCCCACAGGGCTCCTTCCCTCACCTTCTCAGGGTCTCTGCTAAGTGTTACCTATATGTGAAGTCCTGCCTGACCTCCCCACTTTGAAATTATTACCCTCCTCCTTCCCCAGTGCTCCATGTTCCCTTCACTGCTTTATTTCCCCTGAGCACTCAGCACCGTTTGATGCACTGTGGGTTTTACTTACCCACGAGGACAGGAATTTTTGTCTGTTTAGTTCTCTGTTGTGTCCCCTGTGCCTGGCACATAGTAAGTGCTCAGCAAACATTTGTTGAATGACCAAATGAATAACTCAATGAGTTGATAGCAGATAAGTACACTGAGGTCCTTGGGGTTGGTGACAAGCCAAAGGCCACACAGTTAGTCCAAGATTAAGCCAGAAAAGGAGCCTGGGTTTGTCAGATCAGGAGAATAACAAAGATGGGACTGAGGCTCTGACACTTGGATCCTGAAGACTCTCCCACCCCACCAGCCCCAGGGCAGGCAGTGCTTTGTCCCGCCGGCCTCGGGCCCTTCCAGGAGTCCTGGTCTGCCTGCCTGGGGCATTCCAGGCTCTGACCCAGGTTCCACGTCACTTGGATCCTGAAGACTCTCCCACCCCACCAGCCCCAGGGCAGGCAGTGCTTTGTCCCGCTGGCCTCGGGCCCTTCCAGGAGTCCTGGTCTGCCTGCCTGGGGCATTCCAGGTTCTGACCCAGGTTCCACGCTTTCTATTTTGAGCTTCCTAGTCCTGGGGACTGTGTTCCCAGCAGGCTGCGCGGGCCAGAGGCTGAGCCTGGGTGTGGCTGTCACCCTATCTTGGGCCCAAGAATCTAGATTCCCAGGTTCTTAACCTGTTGGCTGCTGAGGCCTCTGTCACAAGCTCTGTTCCCTGACTAATTGTCCCCCATTTGAGCCCCTTTCCTGGTGTCTTCAGCAGTGGTATTGGCTCATCCTATCTTGGATTATATATCCCATTCGAATCCTGGCTCGGCTGCTTTGCAACTGTGTGATCTTGGGCAAGTCACTTCACCTCTCTGGGTCTCACTTTCCTCATCTGGGTTAAGGGGACAATGAGAGTAGCTGCCTGCCTTGATTGCTGGGGAGATTCAGTGTGACACAATTGATGAGAGTGCCCTGCCCAGAGCAGGGAACTCAGGAAGCTCTTCATAACAGTCCTCCCTCATCATCAGCTGGTTTAAATATAAAAACTGTCATGGCCCTTGCAGAAGGAGCATTCCCCCCACCTGCCACCCTACATCCTTCCCCGCACTTGACCTGATCTATTGCCTGCCATTGCCTTCCTCCACCTGGAGCATCCTGTGTTGACTTGCTTGTTGGCTGCTCGTCTGTCTCCCCTCTAGAATATCAGCTCCAGCAGGACAGATACTTGTCTGCCTTGATCATTGCTGCATCTCCTGCACCCAGCACAATGCCTGGCACACAGCAGATACTCAATATGTGTTTGTTAAAAGAACAAATATGTGAATAGTGACTCCTGGGGGAGATGGGCCCAGGGCTCTCAGGGGTTGGCTGGTGTCAGACCCTGCCTTGTCTCATCTGGCAGCCAGTGAAACTGCCCAGGCTGGCATCATTCTCATTTCACAGATGGCAAGACTGAGCCCAGAGAGGGAGAGTCACCTGTCTAATGTCACACAGCAGTCAGTACCCAAGCTGGGATTCCAGCCCAGGACTGTGTGGGGAACGGATCATTCTTTCCCTGGAGGGAGTTGGTGGTAATGGTGAGTGTGGGCATTGGGAATGGGGGAGTGGGGAGGTCCCAGGGCCCCCCAAGAGAGGGATGGGAGATGAGGCAGCCCTCCTGAATTCTGTCTCTTTGTGTCTCTCCATCTCTACCTATTTCTGTGTCCCCGTGTCCCTGTATCTGTCTCTGTCTCTGTCTTTCTCTTCCTGGTATATTTGACCCACTGTACAGGAGCAGGTGCAGACATAGACCCCTGGCTTGGGGCTGGAGTCAATTCAGGAATTGACCTCAGGGGTTGAATTGAGGATCTGGAGCCAGACCCTGCAGCCAGACCCAACATGGACCTCAGTTTCCGTCTTAGCCTCCCCACTTCAGAGACACCCTTGGGTAATTGACCTCAGGGGTTGAATTGAGGATCTGGAGCCAGACCCTGCAGCCAGACCCAACATGGGCCTCAGTTTCTGTCTTAGCCTCCCCACTTCAGAGACACCCTTGGGTCCCCAGGCAGTTTAGAGAACCCAGGCCTGGTCTCAGAAAGCCTGGGTTCAAATCCCAGCCTTGCCACATCCCAGCCCTGTGGCCTTGGGCACCTAGCCTCAGCTGCTGTGAGGGGACCATTGAGAGCCCTATTTCACAGGGTCAAGAAGAGGAAAGATGTGCGAGCAGCGCTCGGCCTCCTGAAGCCCAGAGGAACACTGGAAGCACTTGATAAATAATTATAATTTCTTTGGGCGGATGGAGAAAGTGAAACCCAGAGATTTGGAATCATTTCATTCACTTGTCCACCAAACATTATTAAGCACCTACTTCCGTGCCTGGTGCCTTGCTTTGTATTCATTAACTCAGGGGTCAGCAAACTGCAGCCTTTAGGCCAAATCTGGGCCACAGCCTGTTTTTGTAAGTAAAGTTTTATTAGCACAGAGATGCTCATTCATTTACATATTGTCTATAGCTGCCTTCACCCTACAACTACCGTGTTGAATAGTTGTGAAAGAGCCCATATGGCCGAAGAGCTGAACATATTTACTCTCTGGACATTTACAGCAAAGTTTGCCAGTCACTGGATTAACCCATTACAACCCTGGGAGGAAGGATGGATCACAACCCTGACTTTATGGATGAGAAACTGAGGTCTTAGCATCTGTCATAAGGTTGGGTCTTGATAAATATGTGGGTACTTCCAAACGTTCATGGAAGGATTCATATTATCTTTTAATTCTAGTTTCCCTATGAACTTTCTGAAGTGCCCTAGTAGTATCGAGGTCTTATTCCTCCTTCCTTGCCCCTAGGGACCCCTAGCTCTTGTCCTGCCCCATCCAGCCTGAATGACAAGTGGACAGTTGGAGCCCACAGTGGAAAGAATGCTACTTGAGGGGCAGGTCAGGTCAGTGGAAAGAATCCTGTTGGAGGGTCAGTTTGAGTCTTGCCACAGCCCCTCCCTTGCTGGCGACTTTGGTGAGAGGTCTGCCATATAGTAGGTGCTTAATAAGCAGTTGCTGAGCAAGGACTGGGCGTCACATCCATGCTGTGAGCCTTAGCTTTTTTGCAGCCTCCATCCAGGTCATGGCAAGAGACCCATGGCCGGCTGAATGGCTGAGCACGAGGCATCGGTGGGAAGGACTGTGGCCAAGGGAGGGGCTTTCTGCTGCTCCATGGAAGTGGGAGGAGGGATCTCATTGCCCCTCGAGTCTGCCCCAGGGTTTTCTCCCCTGTCCCAAGTCCCTCCTGCTGGCCACGAGGAACTCCAGGTTTGCTCTCGGCCCTTTTCCAGTTGTCTCAGAATCACCCAGAGGCAATCCTTCCTGCTGCCTGGAGGAGGTGACATTGGAGACTCAGGATCCTGGCCCGGCACCCCGATCAGGAGCTGCTGAGAATGGAGGCGCCTTTCCCCTGCCAGCCTCGCCCATGGCCTGCTGTCCCTGCATTAGGGCAGCCTTCCAAAGTTAATGAATTCACTAGTTAATCACCCTGACTGCTGGGTGACACCCTGGGCAAGTCATGTCACCTCTTGGCTCTGTAAGATGGGACTGTGGTGGTCTCTACCCCTTCAGGGTTTTGTGAGAATGAAATGTGTCAAGGAGAAGTTGCGCTTGGCATGGCTTTAGCCATGGGGGGTGTTTGATACGCATGGTCACGGGTTCCTTCCAGGGTCCCCTGGATACCCCTGAGCTCCCCCGCAAGGCCAGGCCTGGTGTTAGGGTGAGGGGGAGGTGGGAGACGAAGGTGCTACAGATAACAGTTCTTGTCCTCGTCGAAATGCTGGTGACTTCCAAATGTCTCTCTCCAACATGGGTCTCCACCACTCCCATCACCACTGGGTGACCAACAGGAGCCTCAAACTCAGCACACCATGCCCCAGCTCCTGATCCATCCCTGTTTCATACAGATAACAGTTCTTGTCCTCGTCGAAATGCTGGTGACTTCCAAATGTCTCTCTCCAACACGGGTCTCCACCACTCCCATCACCACTGGGTGACCAACAGGAGCCTCAAACTCAGCACACCATGCCCCAGCTCCTGATCCATCCCTGTTTCGGCTGATGGCTCCTCCACGTGATCCCCAGATCTGGAAGTCATCCTCGATTCCTAGTTCTCACTCACCCGCCATGCGTTCGCTCCCCACTTCCTGTCGACTCCACCTTCAAAGTGCATCCAGAATCCACCTGTGTCTTCCCACCTCCTCGGCCCTCATCCCTGGGCCCGGCCACCAGAGTCATCTGCCTGGACTATTGCGGTCACCTCCTCTCCACTTCCCTGTTTCCTCCCTCGGACTCTTACAATATGTTCCCCCCACACAGTCAGATGGATCCGCTTAGAACCTAAGTCACACCATGTCCCTTCCCTGCTCAGGCCCCTCCTGAGGCTCCCACCTCTCTCAGAGTAAAGGTAAAGGTCCCCTGTGGCCCACGAAGCCCTGTGTGATCCCCGCATCCCCTACAAACCCTCCACCTCTCTGATGACCGTGTCTCCCTCCACTCTCCGCCTCAAGTAAGCCATGGATCTTCCCACCCCAGGGCCTTTGCACATGCTGTTCCCTTTGCCTGGAGCCTC